TTCCTATTTCACATTCTAAATAGGGAGTTCAGAGGGAGGCAGCCCCCAAGGTTCATGTGGGGATCAAATGAGGTAATAGCTCTGAAAGTATTTTTTAATCTTGTAAACAACCTTTATACTGTTTATCATCACATTTACCCCCCCCCACCCAGACTATTCTTATTCATATACTTATTCTCATTCTTATTCATTTATTTGTCAATTGAGTCTATTAATTCTAAAAATAAAGAGAATGCCCACACTTGCCCTGATCTATCTGGAGAGTCAGTACCCAGACACAAATACTAAAGGACAATTCAAAGTTACTAGAGGACAATTCAAAGTAATGTGAAGAGCTATAGAGAATGTCAAAACATAATAAGCTTCTGAAGGCAATTTAAGAAAGACAGGGTTTACATGTGAAGGCCTTATGGGAGAGGGTTTGTGTTCATATAGGTGAGGACAGTGGATTTTATTCTGATCTTTAAAAATGAACAACGTTGAAAAAAATCTACTTCAGGCTATGAGCAAGATACCCACCTTCAGAATATTTGTACAGATTAGGGGCATAGGTCAGTGGGAATTTATAAAGTGGTGGGAAGCACATGTTTTAGGATGGTAGGAAAGGCTTGTGAGATTATGTTGTATCTACTGAACCTGTTGCATTTGTTAGGGAGGAAAAATCTTTACCTCTACCTTCTTAGGTTCGGTGACTAGGAACTTGTGAATTAAACTGACAAAAGACAGATTAAGAGCAGAAAAAGCATACAATTTTTATTAATATTTATGTGCATAGGAGTTCACAGAAAAGAAGTAAATCTCAAAGAAGCAGTTAGGTCAGGGGCTTATATAACCTTTTTTAACAAAGGGAAAAGGACTTAGGGTTCAAGTGATGATAAATTGTGGGGAAGTGACTAGAAATATATGGGAGAATTAATGGAAGACAGGGCTATTTTAGTAAGGTCTGTTTATGCAAATTCATCTCAGTGTGGACTCCCCGCCTCTGGTGATAAATTGCTTTTCCCTCCCTTGGTACAAGGAGAAACATCTTCACAAGGGAAATTTATGCCCTGCTCTTAGGCAAATAAGGGGAGGGCAGAGAACTTTTTCTGCACCTGATTTTCAATTGCTTTCAGCTCAAAATAATCCTTATGCCAAAGTAACATTTTGGGGTGGCATATCGTGATCTTCGTGTTGAATGAAGTAGAAAGAGCTGAGGCTAAAGTGTAAAGAAAGGCTTCAGGAAAGAAGGGGATCTTAAGCTGGGCCTTGACTAAGTAGAGGGTATAGTGGGAAATAAGGTAGATTGTGATCAGATTTTAGTTGTTGTGGGAATGATATACAGAAGGGATTGAGAGTGGGAACAGGTTAGTTTTAGGAAAGGCAAAAAATTACATTAATCTAGGCAATTTAGGTAAAGTTTGGGAGCAGGGTGTTGGCAGTAGGGAGGAAGGAGGAACCAAGGAAGGCCACACAGAGCAACCAGGGCTAAATAATACCACAGGAGCCCAAGGGCTAGGATGCCACCCCTGGGACGCTCCTATGACTGCCATGGGTCTCACCCATTGGTGCCCAAGAGTGTTTTCTCAACTGTTCTTCCTTCTTTTTATCACGAGATTCCAAGTCTTCTTGTGCCTGTGTCCTGGATACTCAGAGCAGACGGAAGATCTCCACCCTTAAACTTCTACAGAGGGTAGAGAACTGCCTCTCACCAATACCATTCAGAGGAGAATTCTCCCCAAATTGAAAAGGGGATGGGATACTGGACAGCCAAAAGGGGAAAGAGTGTCTGCTACAGGGCCAGACTGTGAAAGGCCTTGTATGCCCCTCTGTCAGGTGAGAGGAGTAGATTTCATGTTGTATAAAATCTATGATCAGCTTTTGGCAAATAATTCTAGAAGCAATGTATAGTTTGGGATAGAGAGAATAGGTTGTTGGCGAAGAGACCAGTGAACATGTATAAGATTAGAGGAGAATTATTTCTGAGGGAGAATCACAGGGCCTGATGACTAAAGGAACAGAGAAGGTAAGACAAAGAGAAGAATTTGGGACTTGTCAGATGGTGATGTCATTAACTGATTCTGAGAATACAAGAGACGAACTAGGTTTGTGAAGGAAGGCGATGAGACCATTAAAGACTAGTTACATGAAACATAGACAGTGTAGTATAGAACTCAGGATGAAAGGCAGAAAGTGATGGTATTTCTATTATCATCTAGGTCTAAAGCAAGGGAATGGATGAAATCCTCCAGGAAGAAAAAAGAGGAAAAGTAGAAGTAAGGACAAATCCTGAGAACATCGGTATTTCGGTCAGTAGAAGAGGAAAACAACCAGGGAAGACTGATGCCAATGAAGCTAAAGAAAATTTGTAAGCAACATACTGGGGTAGGAAATGGGGTAGTCAATATGGTGGTAAGCTGTGGCGATATCAAATGATGAAAATACTGGGGGGGAAAGGACACTGGCAATTAGCAGGTCAGTGTCGCTCTTAGCAAGAGTAGCTTTAGAAGAGATAGGACAGGAACTAGAGAGCATTGGGTTGAAGAGTGTGCTAGCTACGATGTACCCATTAGCTCCAAATTCACCTTTTGCCTCCTCTTTAAAAATGGATCTGAAGCTTTGTCAGTAGAGGGCGCTGGAGAGACACTGGAAGAGGAGAGTCTTGTTCTCTTGCAGCACCGGTGGCTTCCCCAGTGCCGAGCTCCTGCAAACCCAGGGCTTCTCCATCGTCTCATGGGTGGCTTCTCCAGCACAATGCTGCTCCTGCAGTAGACAGCAGCCCGCAGCTTCCCTGAGCACCTGCCCACACCCCAACTCTAAAAGGCAGTTTTATAGAGTGGCTTTGGTGTCCGGTGGGGCATCTCCCTATGAATAGCTTCCCCCAGCAGCCTAGAGCACCGGACAGCAAACTTTTTCTGTTAAGGACAGCAGTAAATATTTTAGGGTTTTGCCAGCCATTGATTAACTCTGCCACTGTTGTTGGAAAAAGCTACACACCTTATGTAAACAATAAAACTTATGGACACAGAAATTTTTATTCCATAATTTTTACAATATCACGAATTATTCTTGTGATTTTTTTCCCCCAACCATTTAAAAATGCAAACACCATCCTTAGCTCCCTAGCTGTATAAAAACGGGTGGCAATGGGCCAGCCTGCAGGCTGTCGTTTGATGACTCCTGCCCTAGAGGGCCGATTTCCAAGTTCTGCCAGTGCAGCACCACAGCAACTTCTCCGCTTCGCTTTTTATTGTGAATATCTTATTTTTGTCTAAAACTGAAACTCTGGGAATTCAAAATTAACATCCTTGTCTGTGAGCTTCTTACAGACACCAGCAAGTTTCAACCTACAAGAAATAATTCATCACAAAACTTTTAAAATACACACATCTTAAAGCCTAGTGATTTTGTGAGACTGTTCCCTGTATGGCTTTTCTCTCAACCAGGTACTGAGAAGATAAGGAATATATAGGACATGCCCTTCAGTCCCAAGACTGGGGACAAGCTCATCTCCAATGTTGTGAAACAGGACTACACCACACACCCAAGTGCTGTGCTCCTCTGGACCACATGGACAAAACTCAGACACACACAATGCCTCTCCCTCAAGGTCTGGGGCTCAGGGTGTGGGGTTTGGGGGCAGTAGAGGTCTCTTCGTTGGGTGCTGTGTCCTACGGGGAGTGGCTGCTCTATATATCCACTATTCCTATTGTCTTTCAAGTTCTCGTTACTTTCTACTAGCTATAATAATTTTTATCACTGCATAACAAATTACCACAAATTTAGCATCTTAATAAACATCTTAATGTTTAGCATCTTAATATGTTTCCATGGGTCTGAAGTCCAAGCATATCGTAACTGGGTCCTTTTCTCAGGGTCTCAAGACTAGTGATGTCTGCTATGGCTGTCATGTCATCTGGAGCTGGGGTCTTCTTCCAAGCTCACTGGTCCTAGGCAGAATTCAGTTCCTTAGGTTCTGGGACTGAGGTCCTCGGGATCTATAGTCAGCCTGCTGTTTTCTGAAAGAACTCTCCACATGGCAGTCTGCTTTAAGGCTAACAGAGTACCTCTGCTGTTTCTGCTTGTCTCTTACCTTTAGACCAGCGGTTCTCAACCTTCCTAATGCTGCAACCCCTTAATACAGTTCCTCATGTTGTGGTGACCCCAACCATAAAATTATTTTCGTTGCTACTCTATAACTGTAATTTTGCTAGTTATGAATCGTAATGTAAATATCTTTTTGTTTTCCAATGGTCTTAGGCGACGCCCCTGTGAAAGGGTCGTTCGACCCCCAAAGGGGTCACAACCCACAGGTTGAGAACCGCTGCTTTAGACACTCTTTGAAAAGGCTCATCTAATTAAGTCAGGCCCACCCACAGTAATCTTTTTGTCAACTGATTAGGATTCTTAATTACATCTGCAAAATCCTTCTTCATATAATCTTTTGAGTGACAGCCCATCATATTCACAGGCCCTGCCCATCCTCTAGAAGAGGGGTTTATATACAGCATATACATTAAGGATATGAAATCTTGGGGCCATCCTAGAATTCTGCCTACTATAGAAGGGATAAAAATCATGTTTAAATTTTTTAATATATTTTTTGATGTTTTCATCGTGTTTTCAAAATTTTCCTATCAAAAGTAAAATATTTAACTTCATATAAAATGTTACTTGCACCATAACTATTCATTATATAAGATGTTCAAAAACTGGTGTTTCTAACTCAACCAACCATAGAATTCATGGTTTATAACATTCTCCATTAATTCTGCCTTAAGGTCTAAGTGTTTGCCAAAATGCCCATTTGTCTAAAACAGAATCTTTGATTTATTTAGAATAAAACTGATTTTTCTGTGTAGAAGTTACATAAGTTATACATATTATATTGAATATACAGTACATGATTAGTACTTATGCAAAACTCTAATTTGTAATTAGCATCCAGAGCATTTCTTAACCATTATCTTATATGTATACTATGAAATTTGATTCAATATAATTCAAATAAAGTTAGGAAATTCAGTTTTAAAATGTTTTTATTTCGTAGTTCATATAAAAGGTACATATGTACAAGACTCAAAGTAAACAGGAAGGCAGCTTCCAATCACAAATGGATGAGACAACAGTCACTCAAACTCTACTGTGGAAGCATATTTAATGCACACTCTTCAATGTTATGTACAAATAATTTTAACTATTCAGTCTAAGTTCTAGGACAATCAGATTCTGGGATATCAGATCTATATAAATATTACACTTGTGATCAAATTTTAAGATTGGTAAAGTCAATTTCAAGCTGCTTATATTTTGAGTGCAGGTTTCACTATTACAAATATATGTTAACTAACAAAATAGTAGTCCTCAAAGATTTCTTTGTCCCATGCTCATATATTTGTAATCTGAGTCCGTTTGTTAATTTCCCTCCTTGTAGTTGCTATTCAAATTACAGTAGTTATCCATGGAGTTCCCTACGCATCTCACCCATCTCCTTTATCTGAAATAGAGGAAAAAAGAAAAAAATTTTAAATAATTTTCCAAAATTTTGCTCATTCTAAAAAGTTAAAAAAACCTATTAATGAGGAAAGCAAGATGATTCTCTTCTACATTTATGAGACTTATTTATATCAATCTTGTAGGGCCGGCCGAGTGGCGCGTTGGTTAAGAGCTGGCTTGGGACACCAGAGGGCCCCGGTTCAAATCCCACATATGAGGGCCAGTGACACTGCCCTCTAAAGCTAAGATGCTGAAAAACAGCTCAACCTGGAGCTGGGCTGCAGTGAGTCGCTGGCCCGTGAACGGCTTGCCAGAAGCCGGCTACTGATCTGCCTCACCCAGGAAGAGCGCAATGATGGTGCCAACTTGGGCCAGGGAAGCAACGTCCTCCACAACTAGACTGAAGATCAAAGGGACAGCAACTTGTCTGTTCCCCTTCCCCCAATTCCCCAGCGCTGTTCCTATCCCCCAATTCCCCAATAAAAATCTTAAAAAAAAAAGAATTAAGTGACTAGTCCCAGATCACAAAAAGTTACTTATAGGTAGAACTGAGACATGGTAATAACTATAACAGTTAGCAAACATTTTGCTCTGTGGCAGCATAGGACCAACATCTTACACACATTACTTTGTTTAACCTTTACAATGGGTCTGTGTGTACTACTATCCCCATTTTACAGATAAGGAAACACAGACTCTTAAAGAAGTAAGATAACTTGCCCCGCTAATAAGCGGTCAAACCCCGGTCTATATTGCTCTTAACCACAACACTACATTGTCATTCTGACTTTCTGTTATGATTCAATTCATAATCCCCTAGACCTGTGGTCACCAATCCAGGTAAAGTAGATGATCAACTATGTAAGGGATAAGATGTTAAGACTTTCTAGTTCCATTAGATTTTTTCAGTATTCTTTTACATTTCTGTTATTTGGTAAAGTATCAGTAAATAAAATGTATACAATTATAAACAAACACATAAATATACAATAAGTGAGGGATATACTGAAAATGTTATTGATAGGGTTCAAAGCCAAGTGTGTGCATATCAAATTCCAAGTAACTGAAACACACTAGCAATCTCACACTTTAATTTCACACTAGTGGACGTGACTAGTATGCAAGATTTACTAAGACACAAATAAGTTCATTTTTAGTGATTATCATTTCAATGGCAGACACAATAAATCAGGTCATTAGTCACACTGAGTTTCTTCTCTACTGTGACTCCACTAGAGTATGCCTCTAAAAGATTCCATTAAATGTAGAAAAAAATAATCATAGCCTTCCCATCCCACTAATCTTTGAGGCAGAAGTCAATATAAGCCATGGAACTCAGGCAAGAGAACTTATTATGCAAGGATACACTGTAAGACTGTCCCCTAGAACCCTAAGGACCATACTATAAATGGACCCCAGGATAACTGAGACCTGTCAGTGTCTAGGAAGGTACAGTGATTATTGGGAGTAAGAGATTAAACAAGGGCCTTTTTACTAAGTAATCCATTTACCTCAGCCTTCTCATACTTTGTCGTTCTCTTCTTTCTGGAAATAATCTGAATGGAAGAAAAAGGATGACTAGTTTACGATTGTTATCCAAACAAAAAGTTTGTCTAAACTGGCATACGTACAACTACATAGTTTTAATGGACATTATTCCTATCTGAACAAATTTAATTTAAAAATCTATCTACAGACATTATTTATTAAATTAAAATTCACTACTAAACTAAGAAAAGAAGTCTACCACAAGTGAAACAAACCAAAAAAAATGTACTGAGAAAATAAATCATCTTTAATGAAATTTAACTGCTTAGTGTGCCTTCTTCCACATCTTGTTCCATCCTAATACAAGCATATATAAACATATGGGATCATGCAATATTTTTGCACAACCTGTATCACCACAGGAATTCTACCAGATCAAAAGCTATACATTGAACTCACTCTTTTTAATAGCCACTTTATTCCATAGCATGGATATACCACAATTTACTCATATGTTCTCCTGATGTACACTCAGATTACTTCCAGATTCACCCTTACTAGCAACACTGCAATATAGATCCTTGATCGTGCTTCTGTATGTACCTGTGCTTTCATTTAACAGGACAGTTAGATTTCTATGATTAATCTTTCATGTGTTCATTTGCCATCTTGAATTCCTCTTCTGTAAATTTCCTGTCCATACCTGTTGCCATTCTTCCTTTACTTTCCTCATCAATTTGTTAAGAACTCTTTATATATTATGTATAATACCCTTTTTTTGTTTTATGCATGATATTTTCCCCAGGCCTATCAATGATATTTCTTACTTTACAGTATCTTTGTCATACAAAATATTTAATTTCAATGAAGTCAAATATATTATCTTTTCCTTCAGATTCCAGATTTCTTGCTTTACTTGGTTTCCTTTACCACAAGGTTATATAAATATTTCCTAAATTAATTGTGAATTTATTTTTAAAACATTTTTAACGATACTTCATCTGGAATTTGTATTTCAACACAGGTGCACTGCCCAACTCCTTTCACATCACTGTGCTCCAGAACGTGCCATTCACACACAGTTGGGCAATATGGTCAGCCCTGGTGGGGTGACTCAGGAATTCAACTTTTATTTTCTTTCAGATGAATAGCCAAGTGTGGTAATTCCATTGAACTGAAAATAAAAGTTCCCATATATCCTCAAATCTATTTCTGAACTCTGTTATGTTGGTAAGAGTTCCTGATGCTGCAACATCCCTACATTTCTAGAATAAACCCTGCTTACTAACCTTAGGTGATATATTCTTCTTCTGAAGCACTGCTAAATTCAATTTGCTAATCTTTTATTTAGTATTGCTGCTGCTTCACGTTTATCACTTTTAACACCTTTCTATGTTAACCTTAATTTGTGTTCTGTTGTTTCAATTCAGCTTGATGGCAACATATCTTGTTTTAAAAATATGTGAGGAGCTCAGCTACAAGCTTTTCTCAGATTAGTATCCTTCCTTGCTTCATAACATGACTATTTCATAAAAAGGGGCCAGAAAAGCAATATATTCACTCACTATAGAGAATTATAAAAAAATAAAAATTAAAAAAAAAAATGAAGATTTTTGTTTTGTTTTATTAATGTTTTAGAAAATAAATGTAGTGTTTTCATATTGTCACTTTTTCTTGAAAGAATATACCCTTAAATGAAATTTCACTTGTTCTATACTCACCAGCACAACAATTCCAGCAATAATTGCTATTGTCACAACCACAATGACAGCAATAATACCAGCTTTTAGACCTTGCATTGAAAATTCAGGTGGTTTTTCATCAACATAGTAAATTGCAGTTCGACCAGGATCCAGATCCAGTAGTTCCCCATCTACTGTCAAGTCCATTCTCTTGGAATGGAACAAGGATTCATCTTTAACCTATATTGAGCAGGAGGAAAGCAATTTAAAATATTTAAGAAAACCTGGCCACACAGAATTACATGTCAATCATAAACCAAAAGAACTGCTGCCAATGGGCCGGCTGAGTGGCGCATTGGTTAAGAGTTGGCTTGGGACGCCAGCTCTGAGCAGCAGGGCCCCAGTTCGGATCCCACATTAGGGCCAGTGATGCTGTGCTCTCTACAGCTAAGATGGTGAACAACAACTCGACCTGGAGCTGGGCTGCCTGAGTTGCCGACAACGGCGTAGGCTGCAGCCCCTGCTGCAGTGGGCTGCCATAAGCTACCATGAGTGGCTGGCAGCCGGCGTGAGCTGCCATGAGCAGCCATCCAGTGGCCAGCGACCAGTCTGCCTCACCCGGAAGAGTGCAATGATAATACTAACATGGGCCAGTAAAGCGATGTCCTCCACAACTAGACTGAAGAATAAAAGGACAGCAACTTGTCTGCTCCCCTCCCCCAAATCCCCAATAAAATCTTAAAAAAAAGAAAAAAAAAAAGAACTGCTGCCAAGAATCTATGGTTTTAGTGATAATAGTCTCATACATTGAAATTTTTAAAAACATATACTGGGAAATGTCCACATACATACAAAAGTAGAAAAAATGCTATAATGAAGTCCCATGTACCTATCACCAGATTCAACAATATAAACACATGGCAAATCTTATTTTACTTATTCTTCCTTCTATCCCACCCCCATAATATATTAAAGCTTAAACAAACTATTCTATTGCATCAGTTACATAGCATTTCTCACACATCCTCTTACTCATGGAAATAGTAATAGGGAGAGGCTATACACACAAACTAAGTAACTACCAAGGAGGTACGTAATAGATAAGAATTATAAGATACTCTAGGCAGAACAGTTTGATAAGACACATAAATATACAAACAAGAAAGGTGTATAAGAAAGATACATGTGAGTGCTAGGGAAGACATTAATTGTAGCACAAGAACCACTTGGAGAATAGATATGGCTGATCTATAAATGGAGAAATAGATGATGAAAGATCTTGAATACATCGAGGCATATTAGACATTACATTTCTAAACACAGGAATAAAATGAGGAAGATTATACTCACATCTTTTTCAAAATAATAAGCCACATCAGCTATATCCACATCATTCTGAGTTTTCTGAGATGCATTTTGTACCAAGTCAATAGTGATAACATCCTTCTCATACTGGGGGGGGGGGGGGGATTGAAAAATATAAATTAATAGTAGCACAACCAAAATTATATGAAAATATCATTGTTCAATAAGCAGAATATTCAGTGTAATTTTCTGTACTCTACATGTGTCAGTGTTTTATTCATTAGTAGATAATTGAGTTTATCACTAATAACTAAAAAAATCTTTGGAAGGTCTTTAAATCTATCCAAGGGAAATAAGACAGCAATGCAAGGGCCGGCCGAGTGGCTCAGTTGGTTAAGAGCTCGCTCAAGAGTTTGAGCTCTGAGCAACAGTGGTTCGAGTCCAGCCCGAGCTGAGCAGCCGCTGAGCTGCCCAACAGGTAGCAGGATGGCTCAGCTTAAAAGACAGCAATGCAAACAAATATAATTATAATGCATTTTTTTTTCAAGAAAAATTTTTTCTCCTGAAAAAATTTTAAAACAAACTATTAAAACACCGTATTTTGGGGGTGACCTGTTAGCTCAGTTGGTTAGCGTGTGGTGCTGATAACACCAAGGTTGCCAGTTTGATGATCCCTGCATGGGCCACTGTGAGCTGCACCCTCCTGAAAAGAGTCAACTATGCCATTGTAGCATGAAAGCAATGTGTAACCAATGACCATGGCTGTTCCCCAATAAAATTTTAAAAAATAAAATAAAATAAAAATAACAACACCGTTTTGGTTGGAACGACTTTAAAACTAAAATGCAACCTACAATGCAGTATGCATTTACGATGTTCTACTTTTAGGAAACGAAAAAGTGTATTCCTTCCAAAAAGTCTTTTAAAATATGACATCTATTTTAATCCAGAAGAATTTAAGAATAAATTCATACAGCCTTGAAACAAAAGAGTTCCATCACACTGTTCAAGCATTTTTCAACCAGTGTTGAAAAATGAAAAAGTTAAGGAAGAAACAACTAGTGAAGGACTAGCTGGCTCCTTAAAACAGAGAAGATGGGAGCTAGGTAGCACCCTAAAGTATGTATATGCCAAGAGCAATCAGAGAGAGTTTTCCATGGTGAGACTGGCATGTTAGGGATACTAAAAGATACTACGATTTCTTTAAGAATAAACTGAAGTTTTCAAAGGGTATGGAAGGAAAACAAAATAGGGAATTTGCTTTATTAAGTGCTGAAGGCTGAAACTATTACTCAGATGCAGTTTAATCACTACTAAAAATCAGACCCAAACAATACTGCTCCACCAACTTTCTGCTAAAGCTCATTTAAAAAAAGAGAGAACGAGAGAGAGAGAGAAAACTTACCAGAATATCTTTGATATATTTTGGATCCAGTTGATAACGAGTTGTGATTACCTCCTTGAATGCACTATAATTAAAAATCATGTTTTTTTAAAAAAGTGGTTGTACTACACAACATTAAGCACTACTTTTTAACTAAGCAGATAGCTCAACGTCTAGAACCGTCATTAACCAAACTTGTTGAAAATGTTATGCCATTTTCCAAACATCATAATAATTGATTCAGGCTAGAATTATCCATTGATGCTAAACTGTTGAGCCCCACTTTGATCAGAAACAGGATATCAAGTATCTGCCCACAGATTATAGTAATTAAAAAAAGGAAATGGTGGAGAAACCTGGGAGACACCACCTTAACCACAGTTAACTTCACTACTAAAGGGACAAGGTGACGTGCCTCCTTATGTGAAGTACTTCAGAGGACATAACATCACTTAAGTGGTTTTTCTGTCAAAAACGCATAACCTATACTTAATTATGAGTAAACACCAGACCAATCCAAACAAGACAAAGAAAGGCCAAAACAGTGTTCCATGTTAAAACAGACTACTAAACAGTCATGAAAACTACTAAATGCAATGCATGATCTTAGACTGGGTCCTGGGTTAGGCGATAAAAAACTGTTACAAAGGACAATAGTGGGCAAACTGGCACAATATGGTATAACATTAAATTTCTTGAATTTGATTAACTGTACAGTAGTTATGTGCAAGAATGCCCTTTGTTTCTAAGAAAAGATACATTCAAGTATTTAGGGGTCAAGGGGCATGGTATCTACAATTTTGCCTTAAATAGTTCTGGAAAAAAGATTTATACATGCTTAGATATAGATAGCATACAACATATGCATACACATACACATATAAAAATAAAGTAAGGGCTGGCCGAGTGGCTCAGTTGGTTAAGAGCTCGTTCAAGAGTTTGAGCTCTGAGCAACACGGGCCCCGGTTTGATTCAGGGCCCGAGCTGAGCTGCCGCTGAGCTGCCAAGTGGTGGCAGGATGGCTCAGCTAAAAAAAATAAAATAAGGCAAATGTTTGTTTGAATCTAAGTGAAGGGTACTACAGACATCTATACTATTCTTGTAATTCTATTTCAAAATAAGGTTAAAAATATTATGTATATTATCTTATTTTTCAGAAATATTAAAAAGCATTGAGGCTTGTTTTAGTTATTTAATGGTGTGGGATGGAAGAGCTGAGCATCAACTGTGTAAATACTATGCAATGAATAACACTTACGTCTGCAAACTTTTAACATCATAAGGTTTTTCTCTTGTTTTGTGTTTTAGTTCAATGATGATCCAGCTGTAAAGTAAATGGACAGTATTGACTGACTAGAACAACTCAGACTTTTACATTATTTTCCTAGTAGGCTAATAATAAAATTCCCAAGTGGAATTACAGTAGACCTAACAGCAAAAGATTTATGCACTAGATATGCCTTTAATTTCTTCCTTGGCCCTCATACATCTTTCATAAAGAACTCATCCAGGAGGAAACACTCTTTCTAACACTGACCCCCGGCCTCTGGCCACCACACACAAGGTCCAGTTTTTAGTCCTTTAGTCTTATGCTAGCTTGAGTGTGTTTCTGTTCCTTTTCATTATATAATCCCTAAGACAACTCTATCTCACTTTAAAACACAATAAATGAGCAAATAGGTTAAATCATTCATATATATTTCTTACTAATCCAACTGTAAAATACTGAACAGTGTTAAGTAAAAATATAAAAAGGAACATTGTGTTTAGTATGCTACCATAAGAAAAAATATATTGCCAGTAAATTCATAAAATATTTCTGGAAGGTCATGGAAACAACTGGTGACATCAGTTCTATGGAGGCAAACTGGGTAGCTGTGGGATTGAGATGGGATGGAGACTTCTCACTGTACCCCCTTTTCTATCTTTTGAGCTCCAAATCATGAGATCAAATTACATATTCAAAAGTAAGTTTAATTAAACAATTCCGGAAAGCATGAAAACAATTAATACGGGCAAGCCCAACTCACTAGGTCCTCACTCGTTCGGAGCAAGATTTTTCAGTGTCCTTATCCGTTCTTCTGACACCAGCAGTGTTCACACACCAGCACGTGGTGGTGCCATTGCACTGCTTGGCTTTAAAGAGCCCGTTCTCATCACACTCAGGATCATAGAGCCCATCGTTATTCTGGATAGCATCTTCAGGCTTCGGTCTTCTCCCCGACTTTGAATGGCTCATTTCTGCCTTCATCACCAAACATTTGCTAGCCACTGCAAAGAAAGCTTAATGTCAAACTGAAAAATAACTGCAGTTTTATGCTTAAGGAAAAAAAAATTTAATTTAACTCCAAACTCCCAGGGTCAAAGATTATTGTAGACTTACATGTTCCACGATCAGTTTCTAAAGATTCATGAAGCTTCAGGTATGGGATAATTTTGACAAAATTCAGACTTGAGCCAATAAAAGGCTTCCCAACGCAAAACACATCCATTAAAAGAACTATAAGTCAAAATAAAGTTTAAAGGCAATGAAGATATTCTACTCACGTTTTGAGCAAATGACGGTATGTTGTGTACCAATTGCAGTACACTGGCATTGACCTAACGTGTTCTCAGAGCAGTTTGTGGTCAGTTTGTAATTTTCACAGATACATTCTAGAAAGAAAATTTAAAAAACCCACTTTAAAATGTGAATCCAACGATCAACTGTGGTGTCCCAGCAAAATTATATTTTGACAATAATGCCCAAGTTACAGCGATACAAAGCCTTAAAAAAAAGTGGTCCTAAATATTTTTTCAGCTATAATTTGAGTGGCTGACACTATGCTAAATAGTTTGTATAAATTATATAGACAGTCTAATTTGCATGCATCCCCATTTTGTTTTTTTAAACCAAGAATACAGCCCTCAAAACATCATACTCAGCTTTGCCTTTCCGATACTCCCAATGTCAGATGCTTCCCTCCTCCCTGTCAAGAAAAACCTTGCCTGTCAGTTACTCATTTCCCCAAATTAACAATTCCAATTATAGGATTTGTGAATAGCTCACATTCCCTCCTTCACTCCCCCAACCCCATTTTCTTAATAAGAGGCTTGCTTTTGGGCTGAGTGGGAACATATTGAACCCTAAGACTATATCTTAGAAAAATTATGCTTTCTTGAATTAGAGGGCACCTCTGTATGTGGATTTCCTATCTAAATGAAACCCTGGCACCCAATTTTGAAAGTGATACTGAACTGCCCATCCTGAGTATTGATGTCAGTTTAAGTTAGATCCTTTACTATCTCAAAAGTTCACTTTAACTTCAAAATGGCAAGTCCACCTAACCCCTTTTATTTGTCTAGCTAGGAATTTTAATATTGCCTTCATGTTGCAAGTTGGCTTTAATTTTTCCGTTTAAATTATAATCAATATGAACCACCTATATAATCTGACCAGTACTAAACTCAATATTGGGTTCACAAAAGGGGAAAGTATTGTGGCTGTCCTCAAGGAGTTAAAATCTTAAGCAGCACTATACTGCACCTGCTCAAAGCACATTTTTCATGCCCAAGCAATGTGAAATTTAAAACAGACCAATCAAGGTACAGACTTTCTGAACATATGCCTATAGCAACTATCATCATTTTAAAGCAACTTAAGATTTAAGTATTTCTATTTAGCCCCAGACTGAAGCTAGAACATCATGAGTTGGTTAAACTGCATTATTTTGAAAGTGTAATGAATTAGGCTTGCCCTGCTGGTGAGGATATAAAAAGCCTTTCCAGAAAGCTTTGGCCAACTGCCATGTCACCTCTAACCACCATCTTATTAATAAGAGATAGCAACCAAGATGTTTATCCGAGTAATAAAAACTGGAATCAAACTACACGTCTGACTTTTGGATAATGGTGTGATTTTCCAAGCTATAGATTCATCCTGTCACCATTAAAGTTGTGTTTTTCAAGGCTAAATAAAATGGAAAACTCTGGCTGTGATGGGTTGGGGGTGAGCATCAAGATATTTAAAAAACTACGTTTAGGTTTAGGACAATGTTTAGAGCAATACCTGAAAAAAAATATACCCAATTATTATTTATGGGATTCTCTTGAAGTGGCGGGATTAGTTTATTTTTTAACCTTTTACGGTTATCGATATTTCTGGGTTCCCTACAATAAAATTGGCATTACTTCTATGATCTTTAGTAAAAGGAAAACATCCACACGCCTCGAAGTCAAGGTCCAGAAGGAGCTTCCCTGCGAGCAGATGCGTAGCGGGCCCGGCGGCCTCCCTGCAACCAGCAGTCCCCAGCTAAGACGGACATCCAGGGCCCGCCGCAGGTACCCCGGGAGGGGCAGGCCGGCAAGTGGACGTCGCAGACTCCCGTCCCGGCCCGAGCCGGTTTCGGCCACTCCAGATCCCCAAGTGCGCCCCGGGCCTCGCCGCACACTCCGAGGCCGAAGAATCCCCGGACGCGGCCACTCCGTCCCGTCTGCCCCTCTGCCCCCGCCTCGGGCCATTTCCCTAGAGAGGCGTGCAAAGCGACCCAGCGAGGATGCTCCCTCCCGCCGCCTCCCAGGCGCCGTCCAGTCTCCAGGCGGGAAAACGCGGCCGCCCGCCCCTTCCCCCCAGTTGTCCCATGCGC